GGACAGCAACCAAGAGTGTCAAGAGGCTACATCTGAGCAACTGATGGAAGACTCATCGGCTCAGACGGGATGCTGTCAGGACTGTGCTAGTCCCAGAACCCTCAACTAACCAGACACAAACATGGTGGCTTTGCCCTCAGTTTGCCAAGAGAAAACATGAATGCTCCTGCCAGAGACTTGACAAGAAGTTTCCAGAACGTTGCAGCCCTGTCACTGTTATGTGCTATCGGGTTGGTTTCAAAGCACTCCCTATGTACAGCGGAACAGAACGCTGCCTGGTCCCACCTCATGCTCATCGTCACTGGCTGCGTTTGAGCCCATCGCTGCAGCCACTGGACCTGGGCAAATGCCCATCTGCAGGAAGCTCATGGCGAAAGGTTCCTGCTTGGCTCCTGGGGCAAACTTTCCTTCATATCCAGAGCGTGAATACTGGTCAGCGTCTAGCTGCAGCATCTTGGGAGACTCGCCTCTCTGGAGAGCCCATCACAGTGTTAGGGCCTCCACTGTGAGGGTCACAAGAGGCCAGTGTAGTGAGAAGACAGGATGGGTACCAACGGAAAGGTTTCTGGGGTGATCCTGTCCTTCCACATGGAACCCAGGGAGTCACCCTGACACAGTAATAACTCCAGGAGATAAAGCAGGCTCCACGTGGATCATCTTTGTTGTTGTTTTGTTGTTGTTGTTGTTGTTGTTGTTAGGTGCCATTGAGTCGAGTATGACTCATAACGATCCTATAAACAAAAGATCTGGAACCACTCTTGTCCTGTGCCATCCTCACACTTCCTGACACTCAAGAGCCCATTGCAGCAGTCACCGTGTCAGTCCACCTGGTTGAGGGTCTTCCTCTACTTCACCGACCCTCCATCCCTCCCAACATCATGTCCCTCTCCAAGGAATAGCCCCTCCTAGCAACATGCCCAAAGTATATGAGGTGAAGCCTCATCATTCTTGCCTCCAAAGAGCACTCCAGCTGCACCCTCTACAAGACATATCTGTTTGTTCTCTTGGCCGTCCATTGGATGCTCAAAGGCATCAATTCTTTTTCTGTCATCCTTATTCATTGTTCAGGTCTCGGATGCACAGCAAGTCATCAGAAAGACCAAGGCCTGAATCAGATGCTCCTTAGTCCTCAAACTGTCTTTGCTACTCCTCAATATTTGTAAAGGTCCCTAACTACAGATTTTTTCCAGTGCAATGTGTCTCTTTATTTCCTGACTGCTCATACCAGGTGTGTTAAATTAAAGATCCAAGCAAGATGAAGCTGTTGACAGTTTCAATCTCATCTCCATCATGACACTGCCTATTGAACCAGTGGTAAGAATCCTTGTTTTCTTGATATTGAGACACAATCCACACTGAAGGCTGCATTCCTTGATCTTCTACAAATGCTTCAAGTCCTCCTCGCTTTCAGCAAGCAAGGTTGTGTCATCTGCATAACTCAGGTAATTGATGAGTCTCCCTCCAATCCTGATGCCACACTCCCCCTCATAGAGTCCAGCTTCTCGGATAATTTGCTCAGCATACAGATTGAACAAGTATAGAGACAGAATACAACCCTGACATACTCCCTTCCCAATTCCAAACCATGCAGCTGTATTCCCACAACAGCCTCCTGGTCCAGGTATAAGTTCTGCTGTAGCACAATCAAATGCTCTGGGGTTCCCATTCTCAATGTCAGCCACAACTTGTCATGATCCACACAGTAAATGCTTTTGCAAAGTCAATAAAGCACAAATAGACATTCCTCTGGTATTCCTTACTTTCAGTCAGGATCCATTTGACATCAGCAATGATGTCCCTAATGCCACGGCCTCTTCTAAATCCTGCTTGAACGTCTGGCAATTCCCTATCTATGTACTGTTCCAGCCATTTTTTAATGATCTTCAGCAGTATTTTGCCAGCATGTAACATCAATGATCTTGTTTGATAATTTCCACATTCTGTTGGATCACCCTTCTTGGGAATAGGAACAAATATAGACCTCTTCCAATCCATTGGCCAGACAGCCATCCTCCAAATTTCCTGGCATAGAATGGTGAGTGTATCAAAGGTTGCAACAGTTAATTGAAACAAATCAATTGATACCCATCAATTCTTGGGGCCTTATTTTATACCAATGTCTTCAAGGCAGCTTCCTCTTCCTTTAATACCTGTGTATAAGGAGGTGCCATGCTAGTATACAAAGTCTGAGCAGCCAGAGAACACCCTTTCTTTCATAAATAAGAGGACTTTGAAGGCCCATAGGGAGTTCAACTACTAACCCAAACGCCAAGTCTTTCTGATGGTTTGAACCCACCAGCTGCTCTGAGAGAGAAAGATGGGCAATCTCCTCCTGTGTGATTTATAACCTCCCAAAATCCACAGGAGGGCCAGCTATGCATCACTTCTGATTGCAACAAGAGCTTAGTAACTACTAATCCTAAAACGAGGGCGCACTGATGGCCTGGAGAGTTGTGATGTCAACTGAAAGGCCAAATCCACCATCTGCTCCATGGAGAAGGGTGTATAATCTCCTTCCATGCGATTTACCACTTCTTAAATGAGCCAGAGGATCAGCTATGACTTGGTGACGACTCAACCGTACACAACAACAATTAAACCTTAAACAGGGAGCTGTGGTAGCTTAGTAATAAGGAGTTACACTGCCAATTCAAAGGCACACGGTTCAAATCCACCAGCTGCTTTGTAGGAGAAGGATGGGCAAACACCTCCTGGGTGATTTACAGCCTCTGAAAATCCACTGGAGGGTCAGCTATGAGTCGGCTCCGAGACGTGTAATGGCAGTGAGACTTGTAAATACTAAATGTAAAACACTAGACAGAATCCCCAAGTGAGGGTGAACGGTTCCATTGGAACCTTCAAATGTCTCCCAAGACTTTGGTTATGACCCCGCCGACACCCCACACCCCACAGCATGCCAGGCACACGGTAAGCACTCAACACGCACCGATTCACTGAATGAACACAGCGTTCCCCACACCTTGCATCCAACTCCCGAGAAGTAGATAGGTCACCCCCACTCCCATTTTACACACAAAGTAGTCGAGGCCCTGGGGATGTGGGAACTTGTGTGTGGTCACAGCCAGCAGCCGGCACGGCAGACTCACCAGTTCTGCCAACCCAGGCTCCTGGGCTGCCTACGTGACCGAGGGGTGTGGTTCCGGAGCGGGGACCACGTGGGCAAGGACCTTGGCCACATCCTCCCGAGGGCAGCAGGGAGAAGGAATCAGCATGAACGGCCAAGAAGATGAAGCAAACTTTAATCACAAGCAGGTAGGAACAGCTGGGCCCTGACTGGCTTCAGTGGCCCTCACAGCGTAAGACTGGCCCCACCCCTGTCACACAGCCCCCTCGGCCATGAGCACCAGAGACAAGGCCGGGGCCACCTCTGCCCCGGGGTCTGCATGAGCACCAATGGACGAAGCTGTCTCTTCCTAGGGAGAGGCCGACCCTGCTATGGGGAGGCAGGAAGGCTAGAAGGCCGCCCGGCCACCTAGCCCTCCTTCCAGGCTCCGTCTGCTACCTTGGCCTGAGACTGCAACCTTCTGAGGCTGCCTGGAGAGGTGGTGAGTTCTAGCCCTGTCCACGTAGGGTGGGGGTAGCAAATAGAAGGACAAAGGAGGGTCTGATGTTCCCTGCTTGGACTCAGCCTCTCCCTCAGCTTCCTGGCTCAGAGGAGGCCTCCGTGACTGACCTGGGATGCTGCCCACTTCAGTTCCCCAGACCTGCTGAGGGGGCAAAGCCCAAGGCCCTCATCCTGGCCACCAGGCCAGTGGGAGGAGGGCTCTGCCTGGCGGGAGCTGCTTATCGGGGCCATTAGCACCTTGAGAAAGCCCGCAAAGAAGGGGTTCAGGGCTGGAGAGGGGGCCTAGGAGAGTCAGTGAGCACCGGGGGACAGATACCTCTGTCCGTCAGCAGAGAATACAGGTCAGATGCCTTAGGCAGGAGGGCCTGAGCAAGGTGGTGACAGAGCCTGGGAAGAGCAGGAAAGGGGTGCTGGTGAGGAGACTAGGGGTCCTTGAAGGGTCGCATAACAGCTGTGTGGGAAATAATTTGGGTCAATTTCCTGAGAGTCACTTTCACTCCCAATGTCCCCAAGACTCTGGGCTCCCAGGGTCCCACTGAGGATTGCTTAATTAGGGGGACTGGTCAGGATGAGGATTCAGGCAGGGATGCCTTCCTCATCTCAAGGGCCACGTCCCCCAGCTCTGAGGGGCACTGGGCAAGAAGGGTGTCGTGGTCCCAAAAGCTCCGGATGGATCTATGGGACAGGGACCACACCTGTCCCTAGTCGTCTGTGTCCTCCTGTTCTCCCCTGGTATGTCTAGGACAGACCTGTGACTGATTCACCACTGCTTTCCCAGGGCCGGGACACAGCGATGATTTGAGGAGTGAATGCATAAATGCAAAGTGGCTGCAAAGTGGGCAGTGGGCATGACGTGGGAGGTGAGCCAGAAAGTGGGTGAAACAAGAAGACAGATGAGGGGGTGGGGGCAGACAGGGAGATGCTGGGGCAATAAGAGAACCTGAGGATGTGGGGAGATTTCTAGAATGTTTGGAGGATCCTGGAATGTTCCAGAAGCACCAGAACTTGAGGAACATTCAAGAAGCCTGTTCTTCAAGCGTGGGCCGTCACCAGCTGCATCAGCATCACGTGGGAACATGTTTGAAAGGCAGATTCCTGGGCCCGCTGGACCCACGGAAGCCAAATCTGCATTTTAAAGAATTCCCCAGGTGACTCATACACCCATTCAAGTGTAAACGGTATTGGCCTGGAAGAAAGTGCTAGAATGGGTAGGCTAGGAGGCTCCTTACAAGATGCCCAAGAGGAGAAGGAGGGAGAAATGGATGGGAGGAAAGAAGAAAGAAGAGGGGTCTGTGGGGTGCCCTCTCCACCCTTCAGAGGTGCAGACCGAGGGCCAGAAGAAGGGTGGGACCTGCCCAGGGCCTCTGGGCACAGAGCCTTCCAGCCAGGAGGCAGGTGACCGGCTGGGAGGCGCTCAGTCGTCCTCGGGCTTGATGAGGTGGCCGCTGAAGGTGATGTAGGTGTCCACGTCGTCGCTGTAGATGGCGTTCTCGCGCTCGTGCTTGAAGAGCCGCACCCACACGCGGTCCCCGGGCTCCAGGGCCAGCATCACGCTCTGACTCTGCATGATGCTGCGGTCGCTGGGCTGCGCGTACAGGATGACGGCCGGCTCCTCGTTGTGCACCACGTGCACGTAGGTCTCCTTGAAGTTCCAGCTGTGAACGTTGAGGCTGAAGAAGTAGAGGCCGCGCAGGGGGGCGGCGAAATGGCTGGCGCCCAGGTCGAAGTGCCCGTCTGTGTTGACGAAGACCGTGTCGAAGCGCAGTGGCTGGAAGCCCTCGCTGCTGTGCAGGGCCGTCTTGCGGCCCACGGAGAAGGCCGAGAAGCGCGTCCGGCACGGGGGCCCGGGGCTGCCCACCTGCCCCTTGGCGCCCTTGGAGCCCTGCGGGCCACGTTCTCCCCGCGGGCCCTCCTTGCCCGGCTTCCCCAGTGTCCCCAGTGGGCCACGGTCCCCTTTGTCACCTGTGGGGACAAAAAGCGGGGAAGGTCAGGGCAGGGTCCCCATCCCAGGTGCCCACTGACTTAGCTCCCTATGTCCAGCTCAACTCGAAGCAGCTTGATCCTGTGTCATCTCCATGGCCACTGTGTTCGAGCCCAGGGAAGGCGCACTCACACTCGTTTGTAGAAGGTTCTGCTTCTGTTCAGGCCCAATGAAGGGGCCAACATTTATTGAGCACTTACTGTATACCAGGCATCCCCTCTTCAAACAGCCCCCTGAAGAACCTCGTGACCATGTCCGCTGAGAGAACACTGAGGCTCAGAGAGGTTAAGTGACCTGCCCAAGGCCTCACAGCTCAGGAGCAGAAACAAGATCCTAAAGATGCTCTGTTTCCAGCTCTGCTGTGCTTTCCCTCCCGCGGGCCAGGCCTCCACCCCTGCCTGCGGCCACTGCACTCAGCCCAAGGCCAGGGAAAGAGGTGCGATCAGTTACACTTTTGCATTTTCTGACCCAGAGATAGAAGCAAGGGGAAGACCTTTACCCACTGGATGGAAAACACTGGGGTTCGGGGCAGGGAGCGCTTAGTCAGGGCTTTTGTGACAGGGTCAGGGTTCTATCACTTGAAATCTTAATCCATCGCAACTCTCGTCTGCTCACATTCTCCCCAGCTGCCCATCTTGCTCATATTGGGGCCCAGATGATGGCCAGCAAGCCCCTCAACTTTCTGGCTCCGGTCTCTCCTCAGGTCCTCCTCCTGCCCCCTCCAGGCCCTACCCTGTCCTGGGGTCTTTGCCCTGGCTGTTCCCACTGCCTGGAATGCTCTGCCTGCTGACAGCTAGCTACAGGGCTCCCCATCCTCACCAAGATCTCGCCTTCTCAGAGAGACCACCACCCCGTCAACATGCAACCTTCCTGCCCCTCACCTGCACCCTGAGGCCCTTCACCCTTCCACCTCCTCACTGGCCCTAGAACTTAGCATCCCCCTTGTCTTACTGACTTATCTCCCAGATTTCCTGTTCATTGTCCAGCTCCCCTTCTGGACCAGGAGCTCCTCGGTGGGAAGCTGTTTGTCTGGGCTGGCGACTGCTATAGCCTAACGGTTAGCACACTTCCGGTACGTGGTGTCATTCTAGGACCCGCTGAGGACAACCTGACAGACTTACAAGCAACCCCACGTGTGTTTGAGAAAACTGTGCTCTGTAGACTCTTCAGTGGCTAATTTTTCACAAGTCGATTGCCAGCCCTTTCTTCTGAGGTCCCCAGAAACCCATCTTTCCATTAGCAGCTATGCACATTAATCATTTGTACACCCAGAGACTCCCCGGGGACTCAGTAAGTGCCTAAGAACTGCGAGAATGAACTAAGGGGTCTGGGGCAGTTTGTTGGGGTCACACCCACTCCCGCCACCTCCATTTCCTCTGGATCCAGAAGCCCCCCACCCCCAGGTCTTCCCTACTCCCGGCCTAGCCAGCCCGGACCAAGCTGATCTCCAGGTGGCTACTCACCCTTCAGGATGGTGATGTTAATGTAGGGTTTGACCTCGGGCAGGACGTAGGGGAGGGCGGACGCAGAGGCCAGCGGCACATCTGCGGCATCGGCAGCAGCTGGCAGGTCCTCAGGGTCACAACACCATCGGCACCCCCCGGGGGGGCTGGACTCCACAGCGCCTCCAGAGGTGGGGACCCCTAGCACCAAGAGTGGGAGGAGGAACATTGCCCAGCAGGGTCGCACAGCGATTGTCCCCATGGTGACCTGGAGGAGGAAAGGAGGGATAGATGCTCGCTGTAAATGAACATCGAGGGCGTGCCAATGCCCAGCGAGGGCACAGCCACCCACATCAAGCGCCCTCTGGTGAGTGAGTGCCACTGACTCCATCGAACAGATGGGAAGACTGAGGACTACACAGGGAAGCCAATATCCCAAAGTCACAGCAGGACTGGTCCTCCCAGCACCCTGTCCACGGAGGCTCCTGTCACATCGGGCTCTAGGAAGGAGGAAGCCGCACTGTGAAGAGCTGGGAGCAGACAAATGTCCTGGTAGACCTTTGCCAAGCGGCCGCCAAAGAGGCCCAGCTGTCCACACGCCATAAGTAGAGCTCTTCCCACCTTTCCTCCCACTGGGACTCCAGTATTCCAGCAAGCACACACGCTGGGACACTTAGTGCAAGGACTCTGCACGGGGAGAGGGGACATATGACTCAGAGCCAGGAGTATCGTGTTCCTGATGGAGGAGGCAGGCAATGCCGTTGACTCCAGCCACAGGGTCCCTGTGTGCTGCTAATGTTCTCACAGGTCAGGTGTGCAGGGTCGAGGCCGACAGGCCGGTGCTGGTCTGCACATTTGTCCTCCGGGTGGACAAATTCAAAGGCAAAGACAAGTCTCCTCCGGAGGAAAGCAATGCCGAGCATGTGCAGCTTGGCAAGGGCCGGTGCAGGCCCACCTCGCCCCCGCAGCACGTTTGTGCAGTGTCCAACCTGCCCAACCGGGATCTTCACAAAGAGGGTTGGCAGGCAACCGATTCACTGGGAAGCGGCAAGTCAATCGGCTCCACTGGGGAACTGGAATGAAAGGCAAAGGCAGAGGTCTGGAAAATTCATCAGGCCGAGGGTTGGATCTTGGCCAAGAAAGGGACCAGCGCTCTGGGCGAGGGGCAGGAAGTCGCCTGGACACCAGCCCCTGGCCACAGGCCGGGCCGAGGGGCAGGAAGCCTGCAGAGGGCCTTTGAGGTGGCAGCAGGCAGCCTCTGGGGGCTGGTGTCGAGTTATCACACCATCAACTCGGCTTTTGAAACTAGACTGGTTTTTACACTTCTGGTGCTTCTTTGTTTATTTCCTTTTTGTTCCCCTTTAACATTTAGTAAGATTCAAAAATATTTTTCCTGTGGTTAATATGTGTAGAGAAGGTAAAATGGTTCTTTCTTTACTTTTTTTTTTTAAATGCCAGTCTGTCTCAGCTGGAGGCAGCTGAGCACTGAGGTGGGAGCTGGGGGTTAAAGGGGCATAAGCCCCACCTTCCTGTACCCCCAAACCCTGGGGGTCTTGGGTGAGCAGCTGAGAAGAGTGGAGAAGGACAGTGTCTGGGTCCACCATACCTTCCTGGAGGAGGCCCTTCCCATGCTCCTACCACCCCTCTTCGGTGGTTTACCGGCTCCTTTCATAATTGTGTTATTACAGGCTGTCAAGCCAGCTTGGATTCAGCGAAGAAAGAAACCTTGCGCCCTCCTGCCTGGTTCCCAGAATTCCTGCAGTTCTTGAGCCCACTGCTGCAAGCACCAAGTCTGTCCATCCCATCGAGTTTCTTCCTGTCTCACAGGACAGGACAGTCCTCAGAGCTGTGCGTCCCCCTCTCACATGCTGCCCGCTTTGCCTTTTATGTTGCAGAACCTAGCATCACAAAACACTTTCTGAGAGGAGACAAATCCTCTTCTTTGTCCCGGCCACCAATGTGGCCTCATGGGGAAAGGTTAAGCCTACGTCCCAGAGTGCTTTGCAAGCTGTGCCACTTAGGGCTGGAGGCTCAACCTCTCTGGGCCTCCTGCTTCCCCACTCAATAAGGAGATGAAAGCAATCCCTCCCTCCCTCCCAGCTTATTTGGGAGGGTTTCAATGCAGGGGGAAGTGTGTGGCTTGTAAAAGACTCAGTAAAAATCTGTTCTTTCCTCCACCCCACACGCCTGCTTCCCCTGACTGCCCTCCACAGGAAGGGGACACAGCAGGACCTCCCCAGAGGGCTGGCACAGTGAGAGGACATCCCTGTTTCCTGTTGGCCCTGGCCAGATGGAAGTTTAAAGCTCCAAGGCACAGAACCCAGGGAGTAGGAAGCCAGGCGGCAGAATCAGCCTTTTAACAATTCCAACCACCACAGCTCACTGAGGGACCCCCCTGAGGAACAGCCAGAGGGGGTTGAGGAGACTGTGTGGGGGAGTAAGCCATGACTCTGGCATCACACCAGCCTCTTGTTGAGAGCTGGGATCTCTAGGGGAGGGTGGGCAGGGTGCCTCCAGGTGGGCACAGCTAAGCCGGGGCAGGTCAATGGGCCAAAGCCACAGATAGCGCTGAGCAAACCCTGGTGGAGAGGAGAATGAGAAGCCAGGGTGCTGGCCCAGGTCAGGGGAGAGGGCAGGCCATAGATGGGTGGGACCGGAGGCCTTCCAAGTGGTGCTGACCCCCTGTCCCTTCCTGGTCCTGCAGGGACCTCCTGTCACTCACCCCAGTGTCCTGCGGCCTGCACAGCGGCTCATGGGCCCGGCGCCTCCCGGCCGCCTCTTGCTCCTTGGCCCATGTCTGCATTAATAACTTGTTGCTGGCCCAGACCCCGGGCCCAGCCAAGGAGGGGAGGAGGGAGGGATAATGGGAGGGCAGAGGGAAGGCGGAGGGAGCTGTGAGCTGGCTTCCTTGTCCCCTCCTCCTTCTCCCTCCTGGCTCTGGGCTCTGCCTGCATACACAGAACCCAGGATTTGCCTCTTTAACTCTGTAGTGACCTGGAGAATTTTGTTTGATTGAAAAGACAGATGGAAGTCCAACGGGTAAGGTGAAACCCAGGGAAGAAGCGAGGGAAACATAGAATCCACACACTTGCTCATCGAGGGCAGGGTGGCAATCAACCTGGGGCTCCCCTCAGCTCCCCCCTGGGGTTCCCCAGCCTGAGCTGATGCAGGGTAGCAATCAACCTGGGACCCCCTTAACTCCCCTCTGGGGTTCTCTAGCCTGAGTTGATGCAGGGTGGAAATCAACCTGGGGCTCACCTCAGCTCCCCTCTGGGGTCCTCCAGCCTGAGTTGATGCAGGGTGGTTGGTTGAGAGGGCACAGACATGGGTTTACAGTCCCAGGTTCAAATCCTGGCACTGCCGCCCACAGCGGGTGACTTGAGCTAGTCATTGAGAGTCTGTGGAGCTCCAGTCCCCATTCTGTCTGGGCACACAATGCATTCCAGAATGTTCTCTGTGTGAATGAACAAGCCTGACCCCATCAAATATCATAAGGGTCTAACCCAACCCCAAAAAACACCCCAATCCACCCAAACCAGTTGCCATGGAGCAGAGTCTGACTGTGGCGCCCTCGTGTGAGTGAGAGTAGAATTGCACCCCAGAAGGTTTTCATGGCAGAAGCAAATCACCAGGCCTGTCTTCTGAGGCACCACTGGGGTGGGTTCAAATCTCCAACCCTTTGGTTACCGAGCGAGCACTTAATTAAGTACCACCGGAGGCTCCCCATCCCCCTGGACTCTCCTGCTTGCTTTCCATCCTCCTGGTCTTCTCAGCCAATCTCAAGTTCACCAAGGAGCTGCTCTGGGCGGGGTCCTGCCTCAGTTTCCTTCTGGTGTGGCTGGCAGAGGCTCTGATAAAGCTCTCAGCCATACAGCCCAGTTCCCTGGGGTCAGAGACCCCTGACGAAGACCCTTCACCCTCCTCTGACACATGATTCTGTTGGCAGCCTTTCAGGCTTGGCCAAGGCCCAGCACTCTGGTGGCCTGCGATGTGTGAGAGAGAAGAGAGTGGAATGGACTCGTCCAAGGTCACAAAGCCAGTGAGGGGGAGCCCACAGATCTATCCCACCCAGGCTCTCACGATGGTACACCGGGTGTAACTACAAGGCCACACTGCAGTTCCGGGCTCTGTTCCTGGGAAAAGGGAAGCGGTGACATCAATGGCCTCAAGAGGATGAGTTGTCAGGGGCTTTGGGCTAGACCCCAGCCCTCCCTCACATCTGGCCACAGCGTGGAGGATGAGGGGCCAGCCCCTGGACTGCGTGTCTCTGGGCACCATGCTCCTGACTATTCGAGGGCGCATCAGAGAGAACACCAGGTCTGGAATAGCTCGGAGAGTCGATCTAATGCAACTCTAATTTATCCAATGGGATTGTTCTATCCCCATGAGGTCAAGTCTGTAGTTCAAGGTCTCAGAGAAGTCAAGTCTAAACTAGGATAAAAGCTGAGCTCTCTCATCTCTCAGCCTCATGCTCTTGTTCCCATCCCATAGAAGCCCCCCGCAGGCCTGGTCAGGGGTCCTGGAGGTCAAGGGAAAGCAGGCTGAGGGCCTCACCCACTGGGAACTCCGCAGGCCCCCACCATCTGCGGCCTCTCGGTGGCCCTGCCCCGGGCAGTGTTCCCAGGGCACAGAGCCAGGACTGCAGAGGGAGGGAGCCAAGGACAGTCATCGTCCACGCTGCCACCAGCAAGGGAAAGGGCTGAGTCAGCAGCACGGGGTGGGGGGGAACACACACTTCCAAGAGGAGGCATCCTGGCTGCCTCTGAGTCCTCTGGTTGTAGGTCCAAATGTCTAAGGGGGATTCGGTAGGGGGTGGGGAGAAATGGTGGGGTAGGGGACAGTGGGCAGAGGACACGTGGCACTGATTATGTGCCCTGCACTGTCCACAAATGGCCACCTTCAACCACTCCCCTGGGGGTGGCCGCTGCCCACTGCACAGATGACAAGCCTGAGGCCTGGAGGGACCGGTGACTTATCTAAGTTCCTAGGACCAGCTCCTTGGACTCCCAGCCACATGAAGCCCAGAGAAGTGCCCCTCCCAAAAGGTCCCAGGCATCTGGTTGGAGCAGAGCTGACGAAAGCAGGACTCAGGGACGTCACGCTCAATGTTTTCCCTCTCCATCTCTTGCGCCATGCCTGGAATCCCTCTATTTGTGAATCATCCGTTAGTTTCCCAGGCGATCCAAGGAGCTTCCCAGCTGGCCAGGTGGCAGCGTGGAAACAGAGCGCAGGCCTGGGGCAGAAAGACCTGGACATGATTCAGCTTCGCCTCCTCCCAGCTGTGTGACCTTGAGCAGGTCTCCTTACTTCTTTGAGCCCCGGTGTCCCTGAGCCCGATGGATATGGGGAGGCCAACACCCCTCGAGCCCCAGTGGTCTCTCAATTAGATTGCTCCATACCGGCCATCAGCACTGTTCCTGGTTAAATCCTACATGTGTTCGGGGCCTGTGCCCATCCTCCTCGTCCACATCACTGCCTAGAAGCCCTGGGATCTATTAAAACAGCGTGGTGAGCGTGGAAAGCTGGCCCAGAATACCCCTCAGCAAAGACGTAACCCCAACACACAAGGGCTGAACTCTTGTGACTAAGGTCAGGAACTCGGG